GGGCCCGCGGGCGGCAGCCATCCGCCGTGCCGGGGAAGTGTGCTGCCAGCTGGGCTTCGGTGCCTGGCTCAGAAAGTAAAACTTCACTGTGGGCAGAACTGCAGCTGGTGTTCACAGCTTCCAGGATACCCCAGAGGCAGTTGGCTTTTAAAATTCCATTCTGGCAATAGATGCTTCCCATGCGTGCTGCAGTGCAGCGTCCAGCATGATTTTTATGTAGTTTCTTCTAAAATTTATTTTGTTTTGAAAGTGTGCGTATCTATTTTGAGACTGCCCAAAATCTGTAGGCAGAAGTGCTAAATGTTCGGACTGTAGATGTTCTGTTCTCTTTGTTATTTTCCAGCCTGTAGACTGTAGCAGGTCAACACAATGTCTTGCCTGGAATTTCCTTGAATGCTAAAATTAGGAGAAGGATCTAGGAAACAATAGCAAATCAAGTCTCTAAACCTCCTGCTCTGACTTGAACCTTTATTGTCATTTAGACTTTCACCTACTTCCTTTCTTACTGAACTGATTGGCCTTAGATAAACTGAATGAAAAAGAGCTAAGGCTGTTTGCTGTCAACAGGACTTTTGTTCTTTCTCTTTTTCCCCCTTCTATTTTACTTACCATGGTCTCCTGTGCTCCTCTGGGACATGGCGAGTATGAGTTTCATCCCAGTGCTTTTCAGGAGCACGGCTCCCTCCCGGCCTGGGCTCGGCCGTCCCTAGTGCACACAGCTGCACCCAGGACTTCTCAGTGGGAAAACGCAGAAACTTCTTGAGTTGTGTGGTCAGACCTCGTCACAAACTCTTCTGGTGGGGAAGGCAGCTCTCTGTGGGCTGTGTGTCGTTCCATGGTTATTTGTGTCACCTTTTCAGTCCTTACCTCTCTTGTCTGGTCTGTGTTGTTCTTTGCAGTGTTGAGTGAGAGTTGTGGGTGTCCCACCACCCCAAACCCATCTCGATACCCCCTCAACTATTCCTGGGGATGTACGTTTGTGCAACCTCTTCTGCAGATGGGTTGCTGGAAGGGCAACAGAAAGAAGGTTCAGGCCTCAACTTCTCGTTTTGTCCTTCCCTGTGCCCTGTGTGTAAGCAGCCCTGGCCCTCTGGAGGTGCTCTCTGATCTGTAAGTAACGCTGTGATTACACCTTCCGCTGCTGGCTGTGACCCCCTCTGCCGCTGGCGCGGGACAGACCGACAGGGTGGTTACACGGATGAGAAGTGGCTTCTGCCTGGTAGTCTGTAGGCCTGAGTTAGTTCTGAGCTTCATCGGTACCTCCTTTTGCATCGTGGTTGAGCTGTTAGCTCCTTAGGGTTTGGCCATCTAAAAGCCGTGACCTCTGAGGGGTGACAGAGCACATCTCCAAGCTGCGGCACGGCTCCGGCAGGAACGCGGCGTGGCTGAGGGTGGCTGCGGCCGTCTCCGCCTTTGTCTCCTTGTAGGTTCTGGGTTGATTCCTAAACTGCCTCATTTTCTGCAGCAGCCCAGTGTTGTTTGTTTGTTATTCCCAGGCACTCTGAAAGGAACCAGGAAATGCAGCAAACACCACAGCCTCGGTCTCCATCCTGTCCGGTATCCGATGGCTGACAATAGTTAGAAGCAGCTGCAAGATTTGTTCAGTTGCTAATTATAGAATGTTGTGTTTAGTAAACTTACTGAGAGGCTGTTGGTTTCTAGAAGGAGTATGAGTGATGATTTACTGTTTGTATCTGATATGATTGACTTCTGAGCAGAAGGGGAGGTGTGAAGAGGTGGGATGCTGTAGGAGGCCTGTAGAGGTCCCTCCCAGCCCATGTTTGCATGACTGGTGTTTCTAAAAAGGAAATTCCTTTTCTCATTTATTGTTACTTGGGCCCTGCAGATGCTTTGCCTGCTCCATTTCTTTTCTGGTACAAGTAGCACAGACACTTTTCCTGTTGGTGTATGGACTTGTCACCGATGTCCCAGCAAAACCTGCTGTACAGTAGTATGTGTGAGCAGGGGCAGGGCTTCGGTCAGGAAGTCCCCTTGTGTTTCTCCTTCACTGGCTTCTCTGGACAAGACTCCTAAAGCACTGTTCTGTCTGCTGGCAAGCTGCTTTATTGTGACTTGCTTGTGATGCTGGTATCTGAACGCCTGAGGTGAACTGTTACCTTGGGAAACAAGGAGCATCCATTTTGTATCGTGCAAGGGAGGGAAAGGAGTGGTGGGATAGTGGTGATGTTAAATGAATCATCAAGCTAAACTCATTAAATGCTTTTCTTCTTTCACCCTCATGTCTTGTTGACCTTAATCAGGGTTCTGATCTATTCAGCAACTGTACTATGAGGGCCTCACCAGGACAGGGGTTATGAGAGATGGCACTTGGGCACTTGTCTCCAGAGCTGGGTGCTCAGGTTTGCCCTGAGGTGAGAGAAGAGGTTTCCCACAGAACTGCTGCTGACCCAGTTTTCTTCTCCTGTCATAGCCTTTCTTTAGGCTCCTGAACCTGCGCAGGCTGGGTCTGAGCGACAATGAAATCCAGAGACTTCCCCCTGAGGTTGCCAACTTCATGCAGCTGGTGGAACTGGACATCTCCCGTAATGGTAAGGTCAAAGCTGAATGGGGAGTGGGTGCCCCACAGCCCTGCTTCTCTCTGTGGGGTAGCAGTGGCCTGTGTGCTCAAGCTGTGGAGGAGGCACTGCCCTTTCACAGTCCAGTAGGAATCTACCAGGGGTCCTGAGCTCTGAGAACGTGGTTGTTTTACTGTGTCTTAGGCATTCACCAGTACCAGGTGTCCCATTTTTCATGTGACAGGCAGTTATCAGGCCTCTTTTTTAATTTCATGTATTTTTTCCAGACATCCCAGAAATTCCTGAAAGCATCAAATTCTGCAAATCCTTGGAAATCGCAGACTTCAGTGGGAATCCTCTCTCCAGGTAGGAAGGCATATGCATCCCTTTTGTCCAGCTGTGACTGGGAGCTGACATTGCTCCTTCCCCATCACTTTCTCTGGTCTTCATCCTGTAAATGTCTTCCCCTGCAGTCAAGGCTTAGGAATGCCTTGTCTTGGCTAGGACCTGCAGGTGGAACACTCAGCATGGGGAGGAGCTGGTGTGTGCTTCCTCTTCTGCCTGGCCTGTGGCATGGGGTGATGAGCCTTTAGTCATGCTCTTGCTGTCGGTGTGGACAGTGAGGGCTTCTGCCCTCTTGGAATGAGCTTGTTAGTCCCTCCCCACCTCTTGACCCTTGTGCACAAACCAGAAAGGATGTGGACTCATTGTACTACAGAGGGGTAGAGAAAGGCCTGCACACTCTCCTCTTCCCCCTCCTCTGTCCCTTTTTGCCCCGTCTTACTGATAACTTAGGATGGCCATCCTTTGAGCTTGGTGTTTGGTTGCTTTCACTGATACCTCAACACCCAGAGCCATGGCCAAGAGCAGGGCGCTCTGCCTTGTCTCTTCAGTCTGCTGTCTTTACAGCTCTTGATCCATCATGTTTTGGAAATTGCAGCGTGGTTCCTGTGCCTTGGTGAACCGTGCTTTTGGGCATTGTCTGCCAAGGTCCTTGGAGATGCCAGTCTGGGCCTTCTGGGATCTTAAGGGGGCCTACAAGAAAGCTTGGGAGGGACTTTTTAGGCTATCGGGTAACGACAGGACTGGGGGTAATGGGGCAAAGCTGGCAGTGGGTAGATTCAGACTGGCCGTGAGGAAGAAGTTCTTCACCATGAGAGTGGTGAGACCCTGGAATGGGTTGCCCAGGGAGGGGGTTGAGGCCCCATCCCTGGGGGTCTTTAAGGCCAGGCTGGAGGAGGCTCTGGGCAGCCTGATCTAGTGGGAGGTGTCCCTGCTCATGGCAGAGGGGTTGGAACTGGGGGATCCTTGGGGTCCCTTCCAACCCTGACAGATTCTGATCTGTTTTAACAGAGGACTTTAGAGCCCTAATGGCTTAATGGTTGGACTTGATGATCTTAAAGGTCTCTTCCAACCTAAAGGATTCTATGATTCTACCTACCCTTTGCGTTCACTGCCCAACTCACCCCTTAACTAGAGTTAACTCTCTGGCTCCCTCTGGTGGTGCCAGGCGCTGCCAGAAGGGGATGAGCTCAGCTGGTGAGAGTCCCTGTACCACAGAACAAGTAGTGCTTCTACTCTAGGAGTTACTTGTCAGAGTATTTTTGGCCCAGAGCTGTAAGATATGTTGTGAGCAGTGGGGCAGGGAGCTCTAGGACCTGCCTGGGAGCAGCAAAGGATTTCTCCCTTTTGTGGGTCTTTCCCTGTTTTATTGCCCCTTGGAGCTGCTGTTGTGATGATCCTCCTTGGTCCCAGGGAATGCTGCTGTGTCATCTGCAGAGGTGTCCTTAGGTGGGCATTTGGGTTACTTGGTGGCCCTCCGTGCTTTCAAGTCTAAAAGATCACGTGGTGTGATTTACTCTGGGATTTGTGCTTGAGTGCTGCAGAGCCGAGCTGGCACACTGGGGCAGCTATGACTGTGGTGCAAGGGAGTGCTGTTGTCCTGGAAACGGGGCATAACCTGCACCAGGAGCCAGGGTCAGAGTTGGTTCCTGCTCTCCTCCTTCCCATGTGTAGATACCAGTTGGGATAAGACTGGCTTTTGGGGAATTTAAGTGAGGAATTTAGGGCTCATTCTGTGCACAGATAACGACGTTTTGTCCTGTCATGCTTTCACAGGCTGCCCGAGGGATTCACACAGCTTCGGAGCCTGGGCCATTTGGCCTTGAATGACGTGTCCCTGCAGAGCCTCCCCAATGACATTGGGAAGTGAGTATGCCCCTGTTCCTCACAGCGGGGAGGAGGGTTGGGGTGGGGACAGCACGCTGCTGGGCTGGTGACACTAGCAGAACGTGGGGGGGAAGAGTGTGCCACCCCAGTTCCAGCTGGCTGCTGTGCTGAATGTCCTGTGGGAGCACCTCTAAGCATTGTTCTTGTTAAAAGACAAACCCTTTTGAAAAGGTTCCATCCCTGGTCTCAGCTGCACCTCCTGCTCTGTGGTTGTTGGCACAGGCCAGGAGCACATCCAGGCTCCTCAAACCCTCTGTGTTTCCTTACTTCTGAGTGCCCGTCTGCCCCGCGCCGCCCCGGCACAGCCCGTCGATGGCGCTGACGTGACGTGTGCTGCTCGCCGGGGGCAAGGCCGAGCCCCAGGGGTGCAGTGCCCCTCCCGTGGGATTTGGCTTCCTGCATATCAGGGCTTTTACCTTTTTGGGCAGACTGTCCTGTGTGTGATACCATGTCTCCTTGTCCTGAGTTTGGGCACAGTGTTGTTTCCCCATGAATCTGCAGCAAGCAGTCGCCTTCATCGGAAGTCATTTAAGATCCCCTTGTTGTTTGTTTCCCTGTCACCTCCATTCGTGTGTGCGCTCCTGCGTCCGTGCCGGTGGTGAGGGGTGGTCCCAAGGGAAGGGATATGAGATCTCCTGGTATCCCTGGAGCCCTATTCAGTGAATCTGGCTTTCTCGATCCCTTTTCTCTTGCAGTTTGGCAAACCTGGTGACTTTGGAGCTACGTGAGAACCTGCTAAAGACTCTCCCCACGTGAGTGTCTGTCTGGTGGCTTCAGGAGTCTCCTGCCTGATCCTTCTTACTGATTCCACAGGGACTTGATGTTTCTGTAGTACAGGCTCTAGCACTTCGCTGGGGAGGTCTCAAGGCTTTGCATAGATTAACTGCATCTTGCTGGATTTCTGTAAGCTGGGGTGATGAGGTAAAGAGACAGTCCAGGGCTGAAGAGCAGGGAAGGACGTTCAGAGTCTGTACTCGGCCTCCATACCAGGATTGATTTGGAACAGACAGGGTTCCACAGGAGGGATGCCAGAATTGGTGAGAACCAGTTTTCCTGGAGAGGTGGAGCAGGTGACAGATGCTTTTGGAACAATGGACTGTCGTGGGTATAGGAAGAGCTCCGCACGCAGAGCAGCTCGTAATTCACAGGGCAGCAGAATACAGCTGAAAATACATTTTGCTTCTGACATCTGTTTCCCTGGGGTTCCCTTCTGATTGTCCTGGATGAGTGGCGTGTGGGTGTGGGTGGGGTAACGGGCTTTCCTGCAGCAGCCAGACAATGAGCCAGCAAGGGAGAAGAGGTAAGTCTTGTTAAATGTTCTGGAGCATTAGGGCCAGAGATGAATTCCTGGTAGAGGATCTGGTTGGGGCAGCTGATGCCATCAGGTAGATAGGATGTGGAGAACTAATGAGTCTGTACATTAGCCTCTGGTTTGGAGCCCGCAAGCGTCGTTTGTTGAGGTTTCTAACCCACGTTAGCTCTGTCAGCTTGTTTTCTGCCTGCTTATCCATCCAGTTGATGAGTCCTTCAGTCTTCCTTGAATTTAGATTGGAAGGGATTCTACTTGACTTCTTTTTGTCTAGCAGTGTTTTAGGGCCACACAGCCTCCTCGGTGAACACGTGAAGTGTGCAGCTGTTGTCACCTTGCCATTCATGGCAGGTATTCTGTGTGGCTCCCTGTCCTCCCCCCTCATTCCTCTGCTTTATTTAAATAAGAGGGCAAAGGAGGCAGCTGATGATAGCATCCAAGCAAGGCTTGGAGTCCCTAAGCAATTAGGGGTTTAGTCTTGCTCCTTCTGTGATGGCTGTGCCTCCCACACTGCGAGATGTTGCATTTGCTCAAGCACGTGCTCTTCCTGCTGGTTATTTTCCTCTAGGATCTGCAAGCAAAGGCTTTATGGCAGCAGTCCCATTCCCTTGTAGGATCCATGTGTCAGCTTTGACCCAGAGGACAGGACTCTTCCAAAAAGAGCTGAAAGAGTCTGCCCTGGCCAGCTCTGAGGCCTCTCATCTGGTGATGACACTGTAGACACGTAGTTCAGGTTAACACTGTTGTCTTGTCTCTGATGCCAAAGTCACTGGATCACATCAGTGTTAACACCTTGGAAGAACTTGCTTTTCCTCTGTAGCATGAATATTTTCATAGCCTGGCCCAGGCAAGGGGCCAGATCTCTTTTATTGCTTTCTCAGATTTGCAGCCCCCGTCTTCCTTATTTTGGGTGGCACTGAGATGCAAGGTACTCTTTCCAAAGAAATAGAGTGATTTCTGCACTAGGACAGTTTGGTAGGAAGAGGTTAAGAGGAACTGAAGACTATCCTTGCTGGGGAATTGGGCAGGGCTGAGATGGAGTGTGAGGTGAGAGGCAGACACCCCTGTCTGGGGCAGTGGCAGTTTGAGCTGGTAGGATAGGACTGAGAGCTGAGGGCACATGAACACCTGGGCAGTGTCAGAAGAACCGAGGTCCTGCTGATGTGGGGTTGCAGATTGCGGCCTTTTGGATCACTGGGTCATGATGTGCTTGGCCATCAGGGCACACCCTTGGACCACAGGAGCAGACAGGCTTTGGTTCCCATGGAGGCTTCTCACAGCATCTTGTCTAGTGAGCTTCTTGTCTGTATGTCTTGACTTGTTCTGAGGCACTGTGCCAGTGTTGTCTTTCCCTTTCTCCTAAGCACCATGGACATCCTCTTTGGGGAAACTGAGGTTGTTATTTTCATTCCTGATCTCCCTGCAGATGTGCTCCCCCTGCCCCCAAAATGTGTTGTCCTCTGCTGACTCTTTCCTGTTGTCTGTTACTCTGTGCCCAGATCCCCATCTTGCTACAAGACTGGGTGACATTGTGAAGGTGTCATGGGTTTGCTCAAAGAGTATTTTATGGTGGGATGGGGAGAAGGCAGATTGGTTACAGTGGGAACTGGTTGCTCTGGGAATGCTGGTGCTGCTGAAACCAGTTCCCTGGTGCAGATGTCTGGCCTGGAGAAGGTACCAACCCCCTAAACTGCTCGGCTCAGAGGCACTATGACAAGGTCAGGATTGTCCCACCTGGTTTAGGAGTTATTAAAAATGGTGTAATTTGTGAGATGCGTGTCCCAGATGCTAACCTTCCATTCTTTCTTTCTTTTTCTTCCTTTTTTTTTTTTTTTCCCCCCCTCTCTCTTCCCTCCTCTACTCTCTGTATCTTGCAGTTCACTCTCCTTCCTTGTCAAGTTAGAACAGTTGGATCTTGGTGGCAATGACCTGGAAATACTGGTAGGTGAGGGATGGTGGGGAGGGAATGTGGGTGGTTGGCAGGGGCAGAACCCTGTACCTCTGTGGAAGCAAGCAGATTTTCTCCTGCAGTGCAAAGAAGCAGACCCGCGGGTTGTTTGGGAAGATTCTGATCTGCTCACTGTGGCCTAGTCATTGTTCCCAGCTTCATGTTGTCTTCATGTGTTGGTCCTTGTGTCTTTCTTCCTATTGTTCTCATGTAAAACTTGCTCTGCCCTTTCCAAGCACTTTTGCTCAGGGATGTTAATTTTTGCTATCACCCGCTAAGGATCTTTCCTGTACAATGAGACTCTGGTACTTCTGTGTTGCTCTGCCCCCAGCTGCTGTTTTTCACTTCTGCTGTGCCAGCTTTCTGCCTTCCTCCTGCCTGGTTTGGTTTCTCTGCTGCAGAGTGCAGGAACCCTTCCAGTTGTTCCAGGCACGGGGGATTGTGTGCCCCCTGGCCTGGGCACCTCCACGGGGGGCTCTGAGCGTGAGTGTGCTGAGAGCCAGGGCACAGTCTTGAGATTCAGCTTCTCTTGATGTTCAGGGACATCCAGTGATGTTTCAATTCTGCAGCTGTGGATGAAGCTGTTACTGAAGACATTCAAGGTCACACTTGATGGAGCTCTGAGCAATCTCACCTAGTTGGGAATGTCCCTGCTTACTGCAGTGGGGTTGGACTAGATTACCTTTTGAGGTTCCTTCCAACTCAAAGTGTTCTATGATTCTATGAATCCTGCTCTTCATGTTCTGGGACGCTTTTTGGCAGAAACTGTCTAAATTGGGAGGTAGAGGAGTTTGTGCAGCTCGCTGTACCCAAGGCTGAAGCTTGCTTGTGAGCACTTCTGTGATGCTTGAACTGCACTCCTGTGGTGCATTAGCTCCGAGCCCAAATGCTGGGTGGGATGGGCTGTTTGTGGAGCAGTGTGATGAGGGCGTGTCTGCCGATGCTGGTGGTGCTGCTACATCATGTTGAGTTGGCCAGCGTTTCCCAAATGTTTCTTCTCATGTATGAGAGGAGGAAGAGAAAAAAGACTCATTTATTCTGTAAGGCCAGAATTCCCAAAACTGTTTAGTTCTGGTCTTGCCTGGTACCAGACAGACCTTGCTGTTGTCTTCCACATTTCCTGCAGCTTGTATGGCACCCCAGCCATTTCCCAACACGTGCTGCTGTTCCGTGGCACACCAACACGTTTGCTTCCTGAACGGGTGGGTGAATGGTTCTGGGAGGTGTGAAGGTAACAGCAGTGTCTGGCTTTGCAGAGGCGTGGCGTGGTCTGTAGCCTCCTGGAGCAGCTTCTCCCCTGTGGTGGGGGCTGATGCTGTCACTGTCCTGCTCTCTTACAGCCAGACACGCTGGGAGCGCTGCCAAACCTGCGCGAGCTTTGGCTGGACCGGAACCAGCTCTCAGCCCTGCCTCCAGTGAGTACCTGGTCAGGGCTGTGGCTTCACCACCGCTCTGCTCCCTGCCTCGGCTGCTCCCTCAAGCCATCCTGTCTCCTTTCTGATCCTAGGAGCTGGGCAATCTCCGCCGCTTGGTCTGTCTGGATGTGTCCGAGAACAAGCTGGAGCAGTTGCCCAATGAGGTCAGCGGGCTGGTAGCACTGACGGACTTGCTCCTGTCACAGAACCTGTTGGAATGCATTCCAGATGGGATTGGTGAGTACTGTGCAGGACCTCACTGCCCAGGCAGTGCTGCTGGTCGGGAGGCTTCAGGCAAGAGTGTTTGTAACGAGCTGTTAGGGCTTGGTGGACATAGTCACAAGAGTTGGGTGAAGAAGCAGTAGGTGATGCTGGTGAGCAGAACTCTACAGGATACACTCAGGTTCTTGATCTGTGTCATGCGTGGGTGAAACCTGTGAAGGTGCATGGTGGGAAGAAGGGCAGTGCCTACATTGTTAGGTTTTACACAGTCCCCTGCGGGAGGCGTTTTGGCCAGAAGAATGTAGCACAGCATCGTTATCTCCGTGGCACAGTTCACACCTTGCTTGTTGCCCTGGCCAGGTCAGCTGAAGCAGCTCTCCATCCTCAAGGTGGACCAGAACCGGTTGACAGAGGTGACAGAGTCAATTGGGGACTGTGAAAATCTGTCAGAACTCATCTTGACAGAGAACATGCTGACAGTAAGTATACCAGCAGCCACTCTGCCTCTCCTGTGCGGTTCGGTTTATCCACGTGCCAGGGATCTCCCATCTTCTGGCCTCTGAGCCACATTCCTGACCATGCTCCAGCTGCTGTCCCTTCAGCTGCTTTGATGCACAGTTTCACTGAGCTCACAGGCTCTGGAGAAGACCCTGGTGGAAGCTCCTTTTTCTTGCTGTTCTTTTTTCCTCTGATAAACTCTTGGATGCAGCTCTAGGACAGCCAGTCCTGAAGCCCATCCTGTCTGGTGGGAGCAGGACTACAGCAGAAGCTGCCTTTGGGGAGGGGCCATGGAGTGGTGTCATTTAAAATGGCCCTTCTCCAAACTGCTCATGATTTGATTGTTAAAACAAATATTTGGAACAGACAGATGAACAGGAAAAAAATCATGACCAGTGTTATTTGGAGTATGCTGTGCTGAGGTGAAGAGTTGGTGTGGAACAGGCTGTGAACCTGAGGGGAAATTGGGCCCAAACCTGTAGTGAGAACTTGGTTGCGGATGAGGCTGTTGGGACAGAAGGCAGCTTTTTGTCCCCAGGTAGAGGAGTTTATACTTTTATACCTTTATCCTGCTGCTCTTGCCTTCTGCAACTACGGAATCATCTCCCTCCCAGGCCTTACCGAAGTCCCTGGGCAAGCTGGCCAAGCTGACGAACCTGAACGTGGATCGGAACCGGCTGACGTCACTGCCGGCCGAGATCGGGGGCTGCGCCAGCCTGAACGTGCTGTCCCTGCGCGACAACCGCCTGGCCCTCCTGCCCCCCGAGCTCGCCAGCACCACCGAGCTCCACGTCCTGGATGTGGCTGGGAACAGGTCAGCAGCAGGAAGGGTCAGCAGGCTTCTCGGCAGGCAGGGCTGCTGGGAAGGAGCAGCGTGGGCTGCGCCCTGCTGTGTTTTGGGAGACGCTGGGTCTGTGCTGATCCCAGGGTCCACAGTTTGGAGGAGCCCAGGGGGGGCTGCTTAAGGCTCTGCAAGGAGGACGTGTCTGTCTCAAGCTTTCCCTGTTAAGTCATTCTTGTTGCTTGAATCCAGGGTAGCACTAGCTCAGGAGTATGGGGGCATTTTCCGTGTGTGAAATAAAGAGGAGGGGAAGCCCCCGGTCCCCTTCCTGCAGGTTTTGTAGCTCTGTTACCAGTCCTCGGGTGGGCGGTGCCAGAGCCTTGTTTGTGGTGTGCATGGCCCCAGGGTTGCTCTGAAGAGCCTGCAAACTTGAGCTGCTGTTCCTTATGGGGTAGGAGGGCTTGTGGCAGCTGGAAGCTGAGGGCATCGCTCTTTGGAGCACTCCCTGGTTGATGGTCCACAGGAGTGTAACCCTTCTGTCTTCAGACCCCTTTTCAAAGCTTGCTGTTGTCACAGTTGATGGGAATTGTCCTCTGCTAAAAGCTGGTGAGGGTGGGTCGCTGGGGTCCAGCCTGTGGCTGTGGCAGGGCCGTGTGGATCCAGCTCGAGCAGCTGCTGCAGCATGTACTGGAGTGGGGGGTCCTGCAGTGGCCTGGCTCCGTCCTTCTCCGGGGCAGGTGGGGCAGTCTGGAGCCGAGCGGAGGTTCCCTCATGACCAGGCCAGTTTAACCAGCAGTTCTCCTTTTCTTTGGCAGACTGCAGAACCTGCCATTTGCTTTGACAAATCTGAACCTGAAAGCCCTGTGGCTGGCAGAAAATCAGTCCCAGCCCATGCTGAAATTCCAAACCGAAGATGATGAAAAGACAGGAGAAAAAGTTCTCACTTGTTACCTGCTTCCCCAGCAGCCCTCTCCAAGCCTAGGTAAGAGACCATGGATGCTGTCTGCAGGATTGTGAGCTCTGCAGAGCGCTGTAGAGAAGAGGCCTTGAACCTCCCTCTCTGCCTGGTTGGACTGTTCTTCATTACAGTGATTCCTGTAGCAGAATTAGGCTCCCAAATGGCTGGTGGCAACTTTCCAAGGCAGAGATGGTTAAAACGGAGAAACTGCTTCTCTGCCAGGTGGTAAAGAAGCTGCAGCCTGGTCTTGAAGTTTACTGCTTTGATCTATTGACCCCATAGTTCACTATCTGTTAGGTTTGCTTCCTGTCATGATGATATTCTTGTGCCAATACTTCTCACTCCTGTTTTAATCCTGCCTTTTTCCTTAGTTCTTGGTGAGCAGTACTAGAACTGAACCACTCAGGTCCTTTCGTAGAAGCTGCTGTAGAACTGTTGGGAGATGTACAAGAGGTGACAAGATCTGGAGGCTACATCCTTTGTCCTCAAGTGCTCTGTGGTTTGATGCCATAAGCTGATAGAACAGAAGCATGCTCATGGTTTGAGAACTCTCTCTTATCCAACCCTGCTCAATCAGAAAGTAGCTGTGTTGTCTTTCTCCCCAGAGAATCTTCTGCAGAACAGTGTGGACGAGAGCTGGACGGACACCAACCTCAACAGGGTCAGTGTGATTCAGTTCCTGGATGAACCCAAAGTAGATGATGAAGAGGAGTCTGGAGCTGAGAGACGGGTAAGAAGAAGAGTTCCTGGAGGCTTGTTAGCTCCCTGTGGAGACACAGGCACAGTCTGAAGCTTTTCCTGAAAATGGGAGCTGTTGTGGTGTTCATCTTTCACCCTGTAATACTGCTGCAGGCATGTACTATAATTTTTGCAGTCCAAAGGGCATTTGGTGCCCTGAGGAGACAAGTGGGTATAGAAGAGAATTCACTGAGGATGTCTCCTGGGAGTTGATCTGTGAGGGCTGACCTGCCTGTGGAGCATTCAGGGAGCCCAGGCATCCTGACAGCAGTCAGGGCTGGAGTTCAGCTGGAGAAGAGCTGTACAGCCAAGCTTGAAACAGGCAGTCTCCACCCCTCCAAGCGTGGAGCCAGATGCAAGCCTGTGCTGTGGAGCATCCTGTTACTGAAGTAGCTATAGACTGTAGACAGCCTCAAAATCCCTGGAATATCATTTTGCTTTAATTGCAGATGCAGGTGGGAGGATAAAAGTTTCAGCTTTCATCACTCTGTTAGTTTCTTATCTCCTGCAGGACTTTTTTTCCGTTTTTAACTTATGGAGAGAGACTCTTTTGAGATCCGGGTCTGTCTAATAAACTGCATTTGCACCTGTCCTTGCAGCACATATATGCTGCTGGTGCTGCTGGTGTCGGGAGGTTTCGTGTGTTGATTTTTTTTTTTTTTTTTTTATAGTTTTAGACATTAATTTTAGAATACTGTTCTTATTGCCTCAAAGGTGGGATGGAATTAGCTAAGCATCACAAATTCTGGTAGCATATGGACTTGTCAGCCATGTTAAGAAACCCCAGAGGGATTAAGGTGTGTTCTTCAGGTCGTTCTGTGTGGACAGCTCAATGTTTACTGAGCCTGAGGCACAACCTAAAACTCCCCTTGTCTCTAAATCCTGGCAGTCCCTCTGTCAGAAGGAGAGCAGGGTGGTGCCCGAGGGTGAGCTCTGAGGGGTGTTCTCAGGCTCCCTTTCTTTCACTGCTGCGGGCTGCAGCAGTGCAGAGGCCCAGGCCAGGCCCTGCAGCGCGATGCTCTGGTCCGGTGCCAGCAGGGCCGGGGGAGGCTGGCACGAGGGGTTCTCCGGGGTGGCTCAGTCCTGAGGCGTGTGCTGGTGGAGCTCTGAGCCCCCTGGCACTGGCCCCCTTCCTTCGGCAGGGCTTGCAGCGCAGGGCGACCCCCCACCCCAGCGAGCTGAAGGTCATGAAGAAGGTGATTGAAGTCCGGCGCGGTGAGGTGCACGCTGCGAAGCCTGACCCGGAGCTGAGCTCGCCCAACTCCCAGGTGAGTCCTGCTGCCTCAGAAGGGGGTGACCACAGGGAACACGGAGCAGGCTGGGGAGTGGGCTGGGCTGAAAGAGCCTGCTTTTGGGAAAGATTGGAAGGGGCTGAGCACGGGTTGCCTGGATTCCAAGGGATGGAATCTGCCTTGGGGTGTCAGCTGGGGCCACTGAGATAAAGCAGGAGATGCAACCAGGAGAGCAGCATAAGAGGAACTGTGTGCACTGGTGCCACTTGTGGCATAACACAGGGAGAAGGAGAGGGAGCTCTGGTATTTCCAGTAAAGAGTGATGGGAACGGAGCACTCAGAGGCGGCGTCTTTCTGCCCAGGTGTGATACTAAGAATAATGCCTCCACAGATGGTGGAGCAGGGGTGGACCTAGCTGAGCTGTAGCAGGCTTGGCAGGGAAAGCAGCGGGCGGGCTGCAGAAAAAGCTGCTTCTTGGTGCTGGATCATACCCTGCCTCGTACCAGCTACGCTGCCTTGTTCCATTTGCTGCTTTGGTTTCCATCTTGACGTTTACAATCATCTTCTCAGGAGAAGAGGCTGAGCGCCATGTCGAACCGCAGCGAGGACTCCCACCTTTCCAACAGCACTGCCTCTGCTGACGTGAGGGCAGAGGAGCAGCGGGAGGAGGGGCAGAGGAGCTGGCCAAACGGGCAAGTGTCCGAGATGAAGGAGCTAGAGAAGGAGGCAAAGCCCAGAGCTGAAGAGGAGCATAAGGAAGCTGCCAACCAGGAAGAAGAAGATGTGGAAGTAGAATACAATGAGGTAGGAGTCTAGGAACTGCAGCAGGGTCATGATAAAAAGTGAAGGACTTGAAAGTTTCAGAGCAAATGGTAAGTGGTTGTGCAGGGTGAGATTTGGGCATCACTGGAGGCAAACACACGCCATGGAAGAAGCCAAGTGAGAGGAGGGACTCGGGCAGCCTGGGAGAGCGGGGTCCATGCACAGTGTAGGGGCCAGGCAGGAATGGTGGGAAAACCAAGGTTACAGGTATGAGTGCTCCCAGTCCCTGGAGCTGACAGAAGTAGTGTCTGGGTGAAAGGTTGATGCAGAGAAAGGTGAGCTTGGTGACATTTGGAGGGGTGTTCCCACACCTTTAGCGCACAGGCGGTGGTGGCGGCTTTGCCAGGGGGTGGGGGAACAGCAGCTGCCTGCACAGCCTGAGCTGCAGCTGGGGCCTGAGGGTCACAGCCTTCCTGGGGCTTTGCCGTTGTAGCCGACTGTACACTTTGCTGAGGACACGCTAATACGGAGTGAGGATGAGGATGAAGATGAAGAGCGACCATTCCCAGTGGAGAAGCAGAGGCTTATCCGCAAGGACACACCCCATTATAAGAAACACTTTAAGATAACAAAACTGCCCAAGCCAGAGGCAGTGGTGGCCCTCCTGCAGGGGCTGAACAGCGATGGAGTCCCCAAGGAGGAAGAGGAGTTAGGAGGCTGCAATAACAATGCTGAGGCCGAGGATCAGGAGGAAGCATGGGATGAGGATGACAGAAAGAATGGAGCTTTATCTGCTCAGCCGTCAGTGAAGGTAAGGTCTTGTGGGGAGGGGGGTGGGCAGAGGGGTGCCAGACCTCCCTTCTGCTCCCTTGAACTACCAGCCAGGTTGATGTGGTAGCAGTGAAAACCTTGGCAAGAGGCTCCAGCACTTCAGGAGAGACGTGCTCGGGCTCCTGTGGTTGTCCAAGAGCTGTGCCGTGTTGCTGACATCTGACTCCTTGCTCTGTGTCCAGATTATTGCACCCTCCCCATGACGTGTGACACTGTATTCTGTGCTGCAGAGCTGTTCTTCTAAACCATCACTGACAGGGTCTTCCAGTCCCTTAATGGCCTCCTCCTTGCTTGTCAGTTGTTGCACCTCGTTTGCCACAGGATGTGCTTTGTCCCTGGATGGATCTAACCTCAAGCTTGTGTTCAGGCTCACACTTGTCTCCCTGGGTCCTGGCGAGGAGCAGGGAGTGGGAGCAGAGAGGAGCAGGTGCCTTCCCCCAGTGCCACTCACCACCCACCCCAGTGCAGGTGCCATCTGGGGGAGCAGGCGATGGGATCCAGGGGAGCTGGAGCTCCGGAGTTTTGCCATCCCACGGGCCCTGGGGCTGTGAGGCGCCTCTCTGGTGATGCTGGGGGCTGGTGAGGTGGGAGGTTCTTGGCTCTACTTGGCTGAATCACCATGTTTGGTTAGGGACATGGAGATTCTTGCTTGAGGAAGATCCCCACAGTGGAGTGGGGATATACTGATGGGGAACACTGCATGAGTGAGGTTAGACCAGTTCTTGCTGAAGCTGGCGTGAAGGCTGTGAGGGGCACTTGGCCGGCAGGAGTTAAGATGCGGCTGAAGCTCCATTTTAGACTGACACCCAAAAATCTCATGGGTGAGATGTGGGTCCCTGAACTGGTGGAAGATTCTGGAGCAGAATCCTTTGTTACTGCTACCACACTCAGGCCAGACTGCTGGGATTGCTTTCATCCCACACTGGCATTCAGGTTGCTCAGGGGAAGGTTCTTCTGCTCAAATTTGCTTTGGGGTCTTTCTCTTGGCGGATGCTTGCCTTGCTGTATCTGAGCTGGTGCAGCTCGGCCTTGCTGCCTAGGCATGAAGCGTGTGGTTTCCTTACTGCTGGTGAAGTTCTTCACAATGAAAAGGAGTTGCTACTGCTTCTAAGAGTGTGTGAGGCTATCTTGAGTCCTTATCATTCAGGATTGGCCACACTTGGGAAAAGCCCTCGCCCAAAGCTTGTTTTAGTCAGACTTGATGCTGAGGACGCACTGACCTGTTGGCAAAACCTGGACTTTAGTCCACGTGGGTGTTGAGGCCACAGGTTTGGTGTGCCTGTCAGAAAGTCACCTGGGTTATTGGCTGGAAGTGGCAGTGCTGCTTCTCTTGGGGAGGGGTTGGCTGCCTGTTCCACGGAGGCAGATTTATTAGCTTGCCTTCTGAGCTGTGCTCCAGAAGTGGGAATGTGGGGAGCAGTGTCCTGTGCAGTGGAGCTCCAAGTAAGAGGTGCTGCACACATGCCTTGAGGGAGGTAGGACAGGGTGTGCAGGAGGCTGAATCATTAAACCAGACTTCTTTTGCAAATACAGTTGGTTTTCAAGAGAAATTCTGCGATTTCCTGCACACAGGAGCAGGATCCCTGCCCTGTGTCAGGCAGGATGCACTGTTCCACTGGCGGGAGGGACTGATGCAGTTGGATCTGGGGTGGCTCATTCCTGTGCAGCAGCTGGGTGGCACCAGAGGTCCCTTTGTGCTTGTCTTCTGTACGATTTCATCCTTCCTTCTTCACGGGATGACTTGGTCCGGAGGGGGTGAGGTCGCCCAGCAGCGCTCGGCTCCTGAGCTTGGTGGCCGCGGCCCGGGAGCGCCGGTGCAGGCACGACACCCCAGAGGAGCAGCTTGCCATGGGCACGGGCACGTTGGCGTGCTGGCACTGCCAGCCCGGG